TTGTTGGATATTTTAAAAAGGTCAATATTGACACCTACTAATCTCCTCTTTAATCTCCACTAACCCCACTAAAAATTCCTAATTCCCCTCTAGCTAGAGTCACTTCTTTGGACTCTTTCTCCTTTCACTAATATAAAACCCATTTAATAAAACCCTAAGTCTCCAAGCTCTTCATGTGTTTATCTCTGTCGTTGTTCCTTCCCACGTTCGAACTCCAAAGACAAAAAAATGAGAGAGGAGAGAGAAAGTTAGAGAGGGGTTGGGGGAGATCGTCTTCATCATCCTTGTCACCTGGCACGCGATTGTTAGAGCAAAGGGAGCGAACAACTTTTAGCAAGGATCTCTTCGTCTAGCTATCCATATCAATCAACGTTGGTAAATCATCACCACAATTTACTTTTCTTTTATATGGGCAACCTTATTCATCTAAGCAGAAGCTCTGTACTCTCATCCGAGTACAGAGGTTGGCTATTTTCGGGGGCTTTTACCGCTAGGGGGGAGGGGACTGACTGCACTAGGACGATAGGCGGGGCCTCTTGGCTATTTTCGGGGGCTTTTACCGCTAGGGGGGAGGGGACTGACTGCACTAGGACGATAGGCGGGTCCTCAATCTTCTAGGGCAGTGATTACACGACTGCTTTCTGTTCAGGCCTGATTTTATTATCTCTTACTTATTTAATTCGGATTTAATTTACATGCTATAACTCTTATTTGATAATTTTTCCAACATCTATAACTTGGAGAATACTTTAATTGGCCCTCCAATTGCATTTATGTCCTCATGGTCTGCATACTTTAAGGTTGAGATGTTTAGGACTTGTTTAGATTTGAGGGAATAAGGGAGAAGAGAAGTTAGATGAACCATTCATATTATTTGGGAACATTTAGTAGGTGAAGTTATTCATTCTGGTTCCCATTAGTTCACCCCTTACTAACATAAATTTTGTTACTCACAACATTAGGGTGTAACCAAGGAAAAAGGAACTCCCTTCCCTTCCCTTCTCTCACCTAGTTTCCCTTAGCTTCCTTTTAACCCTATTGAAAACCAAACACGCCCTAGCCAGCAGTTAATTGCCCAATTAACTCAGTTCATTTGACATCCCATAGTTGGATGCTTAAAACAAAGGCTAGTCTCTTTCTGTTAACCATGTGATCTCAGTATCACTATCGTTGTTTTTCTCTCCCAAGTTCCTACAGATGAAACAGTATGCAACTCCAAGATTAAAAATATGAAATCTGTATGGTGCCTATTCCAGTAGCATTTCTTCTTGGCTTAACCGCATAGATTTGTATTAATTTGATTCATTTGAGGATGATAAACTGAAACCAAAGTAGTGTAATCAATTTGTTATTACATAAATAAACGTCAAAGTAAGTTGTTGTTAGACCCTAATGCCACTAGGAAAGAACCCTAGAGGGGGAGGTGAATAGGGTTTATGCTAATGTAATCCGATTTAAATGCCAATTAAAACTTATTCAAGAATTATTCTTGCAAGATAGGTGTACAATATGATATGCGTAAGAATATACAATATGAACAAAGGGATATATACTAGCAATAAGATATATGGTGAAATATATGCAAGGATATATAAATAACACAAGGGTAAACAATCTATAAACAAGATAAATAAGATAGTGGGCAATATAAACAATGAGCAATTGACAAAGTCGATATAATGATAAACACAAAAAAGAGTGCGCCAATGCAAACTCAAACAAATGATATGATTACGGAGTTCGGTCCCCACGACCTACATCTCCGCTCCTCACCTCGAGGAGATCTCCACTATCACACCGGATTTTCTACGCTTACCCAAAAAAGTTTACACCTCACAATACGGTTTTTTAGCTAACAGAAAACTTTACAATCCACACTCACAATGTAACTACATTAACTACCACTTCAAGTGTTGGTCTCTAGCCCGTGTCTCCCTCAAGTGTTAAAAATTACAACTTACCTCTAGGCATTACCACCTACCCTACTCCTCTTGGGACGACCCCGTCTCTTACCACACACTCCTCTTTATGTACTAGTGTATTACAAGGTGAACCTCACAATTTAAGTACAAATACAAAGTGTTTGTTCTCTACAATAGATGAGAACGAATTATAAGCTCACTCTCTAAGTCACACAAACCCACAACCCAATTACACAATGTATGCAAATACAATAAGCTCAATGGTTGTGTGTGTACAAATAGATAAAATAAATCAAAACTAAACTCAATATAATTCTAGCTTAATAACAATGATAATCAAATATATAAAAGAGCTAGAAATAGAATTTAGAAAACTTCTCAATGGATCAAGAGATAGAGGGAGAATAGTTGGATGCTCAAACTCCAATAGATGATCTCCTCAAGCTCTTGTAGAATTGATTTCACAAACTCAAACCCTCAATTGCTTAAAAGCTTCTAAACGAACATTAAACAAACTTAAACCCTTGTTTAAAACTCTTTTAAACTTGTTTAAAATATTTCATTAGTTGATCTGAAAGATGAGAGCAAGGGGGTATTTATAGGAACCCAAAACATCAGCAAAAACCTTAGCAAAATGACCAAAAACCCAATTCCCACAAAATCTGGAAAGTGCAGAAATATAGTCGTTATTGATCGACGGTCGACCGCAGAGCCACTGGCGGTCGACCGCGGGAAAAACTAGTCGTTGGGATGACAAACTGGAAAAGTCATGGTCGACCGCAGAGGCAAGTCCGATCGACCACGAACAGCAAAAAAACAAAGCTGACTCTCTGGATTTTCTACGGTCGAACGCGATCTGATAAAAAATAAAAACAGTCTCTGGAAAAATTAACGGTCGACCGCAGCATCAAGAGCGATCGACCGCAAGCTGTTGAAAAATAGAGCACAGTCTCTGGACTATCGGCGGGGGGCCGTAGCGCCAAGGTCGGTTGACCGCGAACTGATATTTCAGATATTCCAAGTTTGAAAACAGTTTTCTGATTTTAAAACCCTATTTAAAATATCAAACAAATTCAGAAAAATGTAAAACTTTGGGAAATGATTGTAGACATGATAATACACATGCTACAAAAACTGGTTTTCAAAAAGGACCTCCCAAATGAGAAATATCATCATTTTGCAAAATAGTCCAAAACATAAAAATGTAAACATATGAATTTTGACATTTTGGCTAAACCATGTTTTGAAATATTACAAAATGATTTTGTAGACTTAATAAAAGATGTATATGATTATTGTTAAGTCCATAAACCAAGAAAATAATATTTTCTCAAAATTACATATTCTATGCAATAAATTCTAAAATACAATAGAATATGAAACAAATAAAAATGTGAATAATTTTGTTTGTTGTTTCATAGCTATGTAGTTAAACCAAAACACAATAGTAAATATAAAATATGTAATTTCATATTTATAAACATAAAAACCCAAAAAATATGTATGTATATATATAATTATATATATACGTAGAAACCAATAAAATATGTGTGTATATATGATTGAGCTTAAAGTATCAACACACATAACATAACACCTAAACTAAATGTTGCCCAAGCTTGATTGATCTTCGATGTAGCCCAACTTGGTACACTTACGGATGAAGCTAGAACTTGGATCTTCAATTTGAATTGCATAAGCTTCACTCCACAATTCCGCCAACCTCATTTGGATATGATCGTTGAAGCGTAATTCCATCCATCCTTCAACACGTTGTTTGTCTATAATAAATAGAAATACACAAACACTAGACAAACAACATTAGTGATAAATTGTTTGTTAAACATCATCGTTACTGTAGTGTTTGTGTTGTTATTGGATTATATACAGAAATAAATTATTAAATGGAGCAACTCAGCTAACAAGCCCGTCTAGCTCAGTTGGTAGAGCGCAAGGCTCTTAACCTTGTGGTCGTGGGTTCGAGCCCCACGGTGGGCGCTTCCTTTTTTTCCATTATCGAATATTTTGCTCGTCAACCGTGGGATTGGCCATTGGGCCGTCAACTAAATCTGAATGTTGTCGCGACAGATTTCCTCAATCACTAAGCAATTTACTAAGTACCCTCAAACTATACAATTATTTTCCGTTCTTCTTTCTATTTCCCCCCCTTTTTATAATTTTTTGCTCGTCCAAGAAGGCCGTTCATTTACTACGCTCCCATTCAAACAGAAGGCCCATTGGGCCGTCAACTTAATATGAATGTTTGTCGCGACAGATTTCCTCAATCAGTAAGCATTTTACTAAAATACCCTCGAAGTATACATTTATTTGCCGTTCTTCTCCCTG